TTTGTAGTGGTGCTGTCTGGTTTAAGGACAGAATGATGGGGCAGATAGAAGTTGTCAGAGTCATTGCTTGGAGGTACTCGTCGCATGTGACCTAAGTCTACATACTCCTGGAGGACACTGTCGTACTGCTCTTTTAAAGGTGGGTTCCGTTGTAAACGGCCTTCATTTTTGAGGAACTGAGCCAGCGCGATTGATCTAGAATGGCCTAAGTCGACACACTCAGGATTTCGAAAGGGTAATGACACCATATATCTGCCACTTGAATCTCTACGAGTAGTTTGAATGAAATTGTCTTCACAGACGGAATCAGAAGACTCTTCTGCCCTCACGGCTGGAAGATCCTCCACCTCCCAAAACTTCGTTAGAAGGTTTTCTAAACGCTGTTCTGTACTGACCTTTACCCTTGTAGCAAAGGAAGAAATTGAGGGGCGAGTTGACTCAGCTACTGGTCCTGTGAGGATCCATCCAAATATGGTCTCCTGACCGAGTAACGAGCCGCAAATGTTGGGTTGGGAGCCGCCTAGTAAAATTGATGGAAGGATATCTGCACCTAAGAGCACATCTATCTGCGAGCTCTTATAGAAAGAAGGGTCAGCAAGAGGAATGTTTGGCAGGTCCTTTACAAAACCTTGAGGAACTGGGTACGAAGGTAAGGTGCCTGCCACATTTGGGAGTACGTAGGCCGAGGTTTCTATGTGGATCCTCGGTTTTGATGGTGAGCCTATTTGGAAGTGGCATATCTTCTGAGGCCTGGCTGAAATTGCTTGGCTCAAGCCCGTTACTTGAACCTGAACTGGTTGGAAAGGAAGCTTGATAATTCTGAACAGACGTTCGGAGATGAACGTTGCTTCCGATCCAGAATCGATCAATGCACGTGCTTTAAAACTGGTGCCCAAGTGGCATATGTTTATCATAGCCGTGCCTAGCAAAACACCCTGTGTGTTCGCTGTGTAGTAGCTTTGGACATTGGAGGATGAAGCGGACTGTATGTCTTGAATTGGGTTTGGAATGGAAGGAACTGTTGCAGAGGGCTCTGGATGTGGGTTACCACGGTGCAGAAGCGTGTGGTGGCGACGTTTGCACGTAAAACAATTATGTTGACTCGTGCAATCTTTGATTTGGTGCCCTCTAGCGAAGCAGTTCATACACAACTTTTGTTGCTTTATGTAGTTGGCTCTATCATGAGCAGACATTTTTAGAAAGCGTGGACATTGGCGCACCGGGTGGTTTTCTTTGGAACAAAGACTGCAGGTGCGAATCTTGACGGAGCTTTGGCGGAGGTCGGCGCTTACTTTTGCCTCAAAAGAATTAACCTTTTTTTCGTTCTTTTCCCTTCTTTCGGGCCTGGAAAGCGCTTGCATGGAGGCATTCGCGTTCTCCATTGCTTCGAGAGATAAATATCGCTCACTCAGGAATTTGTTCATGGCGCTCCATGACGGTATCTCGCTCTTGCTCGGAAGTGACTGTTCCCAAAGAGACAAGGTCACTTTCGGCAACTTTGAGGAAACCAGAAACACCAGAACGCCGTCCGCGAACCGATTATCAATGGGCACCTCTGAGTGTTCTAAGGCCGTGAGGCATCCCTGGATGGCACTTTGGAGCTCTTTTAAAGCGGCCCCGGATTCATTTTGGATAGGGGAGAAACTAAATAGGATTCTTAGTTGGCTGTTGACAAGAGTTCTCTTGTTCTCGAAACGTTCTTTCAGGGCGGTCCATGCGGAATTGAAACCCTCGTTCGTCAGCGGAGCTTTTTCAACAATGACTTTGGCTTCACCCCGAGTCTTGTGGCAGAGGTGATATAGCATCTCCACTTGAGTCAGTCTTGGATTGCTTATGTAGATTGCGGAAAAAAGATCGCGGAAAGTGGGCCACTTTAGATAATCGCCGTGGAATACCTCGATTTCAATTGGGGGCAGACGACTATAGCCTCCTTGATGAGCGCTAGGGGTGGATAACGGGGGGGGGAGCCGAAGCGCTCTCGATTTGCTCCTGTAGGCTTGTAGCGCACCTCTCATATACTGAGTAGCAATGCTCATATTTGGCTTGCATGGATTGCATAGCATCACCATCGGGTTCAGTTTCACTGAGAGCCTTGGTGCAACGCTCGCACTCTAGCCGTACCTTTTCCCACAAGGTCCTCACTTCGTCTAGGCGGATCTTAAGGGTGAACGTGGACACCACCACAGAGGATGGAGTAGCGAGCCTCGCCTCGAAACTGCCGAGTCGGTCTGATGCCGCTATAAAGTCCGCTAATGCCATTCTCTTGACCTCCGCAAGTCTTTGTCCCAGGGCGCGAGTAATGCTGACTGGAGTAAGTTTGGATTCGTCTTTCGATGAACCCGAAGGATCTTTCCTAACGGAGGACGATGGAGTCTTGGAATGTGGCGATGGTCGCGTGCTTGGAACTGTGAGGCGTTTCTTCGCGTCGCGCTCACTGGACATAATAAGCTATCAGCGACGCGTATGAAAGTGGAACGGTGGAAACGAAACGGAGATGGTATGAGCAATAATTTGGAAAAACGAGAGGTTATTATGTTACAATTATATTTTGTATTTATATTGTATATGTACCAAAAATTCTGGAACGATGGAATGGAACATGTACCGTTCGAGTGAGAGATTTATGGAGTGTCACCCAAAAGTACTTGGCACAAAGTTTTAGTTTAGTTCTTTTTTTTTCCCAAAGCCCTCTTTGATTTCGTATTATTATTCCTTCCGGAACAGTGGAATGGAACGTTCAAAGAGGTTCACGATTGGCAACAAAATTTATTAAAACAATTAATAAAAAATTTAAATAAATATTTGGAAATGTCCCAAGTGCCGTACCTTTTCATGAAAACTATATACCCGCGTCGTACAGGGTATCACCATAAGCACAAAGAGGAATGGAGCAGCTGCTGTAAGCTAAGCTCGCGGTATGTATGTATGTACGTATGTAAATGCTTGAGGCTGGTCCCGTACTGTGTGGATATGCGTTGTTTTAATAGAGGAAAAGCGCTGTGTATATTTTATTTTATTGCAGGCTGCGGATGGTTCAAAATTGCTGAAGTATTAAATGGATGTAGCATGCACTTAAATAATATAAGGTGATTGGGTGAATGGAGTTAGTTTTGGCGGAGGAAAAGGAACAAAAACATAAAGTACACCTACAAAAAAGGTGGTACTATGTACATGCACTTAAACGTTATTTTATTTTATGAATTTTTTTTTGTTTGGTTCTTATTTAAAATAATTTGTGCGGATTATGCATATGTGTGTACAGTGCAAGAGACGAGAGCGCCAAAGAAAAAAAACCGTATGTATGTGCATATGTATGTTCGCCACCCTAGTCGCGATCCAACATGTTCGATGCACTAGGTTCGATGCAGTGCTTCTCTAAGCGGAATGGAATTAGCGGAGATCAGCGTGTGCCTATGTATATAAGTACGTACATATGTGCGCCTGATGGGTCGTTGCACTTGTCCGATTTTTGGCGGAAAAAAAGATGGCGAGGTTATATATATGGAAATAGGCCGTTATGTACATATGCCAGGTACGTTTGGAAAGAAAAAAAAGGGAAACAAATAGCGGTTTTTTTTCGTCTTCACTTGCACTTCCTCACTATGGAGTTTCTCCACACACTATACACTGCACAGAACCTTTTTGGTTGCAAATTGGACGGTTTTTATATACTTAGCTGGCAATTCCTCTTGAGCAAGCTGGGGCGAGCGGATTGGGGGGATGATCTCCGTGATTTTTCGGTGAAAAATAAAAAATCCAATGATGAGAATCCGGCTCGAAGGACCAATGATTGTAGTGGGAGATCCTTGCCTGCTTTTTCTCGTCCTTCACTTCTGGTGGCTGCGTGGGATTAGGTACCCAAACAATAAGAAGAAGATGTTTGTAATTTGCGGAAAATGATGCGCGTGCGCGTTGTGTTTATTCCAAGGTCTGATTTCAACTAACTCTTGGTATGATTAAGCTTAAATAAGAACTGGATAGATTTCGGGATAATTCAAATTTGTTCGAATTCTGGTCTTTGGGGTTCCACTGTATTTGCTATAAAGTCAATATAGTATCAATAATAGACACATTTTAATGTATTTGCGAGCACCTGGTTGCCGTTTTCCCTTTCTCTCCCTTCCCTACTATCCGGCTGGCTTCCTTCTTGACGGCTCCTTGCTCCTTTACTTGCTGCTTATTTACAGCTTACGCCTGGAACCTAAATCCTTCAAAGAAGCATACCCAAAATAGGATGGCAGAGGGTGTCTCTCTGCCTTATGCTCTTCTCGTCTGCTTTTGTGTAATGACTGCAGACAGACTATAAAATTTCCGCCGCCAGCCTAGTGTCGAAATGGCGCTTCCAACTAATTTACTTATGTCTAAATTACTTTTATTGTTGCTGATGCTTTGTCCTGTACTCGCAGGGCCTAGACTCTAGAAGGTATACTCATACTGTTTTCTAGCAACATAGTCAAATAACTATTATCAGAAAATACTTATTCGTGGGGTACAAAGCTATGGATGCAACAGACGGCAAGAATGCGCCTCTGTAGATCCAATTCTCTGCCTATAAGAACACCAGCATCGAAGGGCTTACAAAAGGATAAAGCAAGCGAACTATGACAGAATTTCATATGTGTATGTACAATGGGACAAATTTCCCTTTGGGTGTTGAGTATTCGCCTATCCCAAAATATTCTGTGCAATAAAATGTCCAGAAATTATAAATTTTCAGAAATTAGAATTAACCCGAGGAACAAGTGGGTTCTAACTATTGAGATTCCACTGTATATCAATACAAAATTCGTAGAACGAATCTATCCCATTGTCGAAATAACTCCAAGCCTTCTATATTTGTCCCTTTTTCGTATAAAATTCCCCAAATCAAGTAGTCTCTTTGTATATATTTGGATTTGTATATCTGGCCTTGGGGCTGAGCCAGATTATCATCAGTCGAGTCGAGCTGTTTGCCGAGTAAACAGCCCGGAAAATATTTTTTTGGGATAAAAGTGAAAAATTTAATTACGAATAAAAAACCGAATAAAACAAAACGAAAATGTTGAGTTCTCCCCGCGTACGAAAATTCCGGGTGGAAAAGGAAGAGTTCTCCAAGAGACATTCGCGTACCGCCGGACAAAAAATATTTATAATTTCTTTCAAATTTAATTTTATTTATTTTGTTTTAGTTTAATTGGTTTTTTTTTTTGTGATCTCGTCTAAATTATTGAAAATATTTTTTGTTTTTTGGTTAGATTGGTGAAAGTTATTGAATAACTTAAAACTTGGATGGACTCCGAACCGGACTTTCAGTAAGCTAAACAAGTGGAATTCCAAATTCGTTGCGTTGCTAATATTAAGAACCATTTAGAATATGTGCATGCAATGGCGGCGTGCTGCAGCCTTAAAGCTGCACTTTACCGGACTTACTTACCTGATTGATCAAATCATAGCTGGCTCAAGCTAAAATTCACGGATATGGAGCTGCTTTATTGCTCCCGAACGACAGTAAGTAAATCAAGTCGACTCTCAAACTTAATCGCTGATATTGAACCTCCTGTACAGCGAGCTCAGGGAAATTCCTCACACGAGATTCTCTGAGGACTGGCTAATAATAGTAAGTAATGCTCATTCGCAACTCGGTTCTTATGCTGAGATTAATAGAGTTTCCTCAGGAGAGTGGCTAGAATGGATTTGACTGGCCTTTGAATGTATGACTCAACCATTATCCTGATCGCATCCAAATTAATCAAATTGTATCAAAATTTCGTCGGTGAATCCAACACGGGTGAAGGATGATCTGACAGAGTGAAGAATGTTCGACCTCAATGGAAATACTCTAAATTAATCAAGTTCATTTCAATTTCGGAAAGCAAATTGTTTCGCAAAATAAAATTCAAAGTTTGATGATGAAAATCAAATATTGTTTTATTATGGTATTATGGTGATTTTAGGGGTTAAAGAGCTTTTAAAGTAACGGTCAATTTATAGCGGAAAATATGAACCGATGGCCAAGCCATCAATAGGCGGTGCCTTTAAAATATCTTTGGGCGAGAGTTTATTTTACGAAATTTAATTATTCCGCCGATGGTAATTTTTTAGGGCTGCATTTGAAAACTATCGGTTAAGTATCGTATGGTATTGATAATTCAAATTGATGGCTGTGAGACCAGCTTTATGGGAGACCATGCTGTGTGAGCGAGTGAAATATATGCTTTAGCTTATATTTGTAGTCGATATGCTGGCAATACACCATGGGGCATTTAGCTTCAGCCAAGTAAAATATATTAGACCCCTATCGATATATGTTAACAGTAACACTGTGCTGTTAGGCGCTCAACAGTACGCTGTTTTCAGGGTGACCGTTGACGGAATACTTTATATTAGAGATTGACATTGAGCTCAATGTATATATCGGCATACAACTTTATATGTAGCCAAGTATCTCATACATGAAACGCAAAAATGAGTCAGGTGAGCTTAAATATTATATTATTATTTTAATATTAAATCGAATGTCAAGATCGATGAATAATTTTCCTCGGTATGTTTAGAAAATGAGAAGGTATATTTCGGTATATTTTTGAGGGTCAGTCGGTATATTTGATGGATTAATCCGCGCTCAACAGTACGATGTTATGCCCAGCTGTCAAATGCAACCCTGCCAACACGCCATATTGTGACAGCCGCTGTCGTGCTCTCTTTCTACTTAAAACCGTTCGCCATACAAGATGGTAAATGCAATTTTTATATTTGACCAAAATAAAATATTTGTTCACTTTGAACTTTAGAAATCATTTGACAAAAATTTGTACAAGCGTATCATATGCATATGACCGGATTGTACGAACAACGAATAACCCGAGGTTCCCCGTGTTATTCTTACTTCAACAAAAAATGCAAGGCTGTGTGGTAAAGTAAACAACAACTTTCAGAAATTAGAAGCACAGGTTCTCCAATATTTTGCATTGAAATGGTGGCTATAATTTCGGGATAATTCAAATTTGTTCGAATTCTAATCTGTGGGATTCCACTGTATTTGCTATAAAGTCAATAGATATCAACAAGTATCAAATAGACACATTTTAATGTATTTGCGAGCACCTGGTTGCCGTTTTCCCTTTCTCTCCCTTCCCTACTATCCGGCTGGCTTCCTTCGACGGCTCCTTGCTCCTTTACTTGCTGCTTATTTACAGCTTACGCCTGGAACCTAAATCCTTCAAAGAAGCATACCCAGAATAGGATGGCAGAGGGTGTCTCTCTGCCTCATGCTCTTCTCGTCTGCTTTTGTGTAATGACTGCAGACAGACTATAAAATTTCCGCCGCCAGCCTAGTGTCGAAATGGCGCTTCCAACTAATTTACTTATGTCTAAATTACTTTTATTGTTGCTGATGCTTTGTCCTGTACTCGCAGGGCCTAGACTCTAGAAGGTATACTCATACTGTTTTCTAGCAACATAGTCAAATAACTATTATCAGAAAATACTTATTCGTGGGGTACAAAGCTATGGATGCAACAGACGGCAAGAATGCGCCTCTGTAGATCCAATTCTCTGCCTATAAGAACACCAGCATCGAAGGGCTTACAAAAGGATAAAGCAAGCGAACTATGACAGAATTTCATATGTGTATGTACAATGGGACAAATTTCCCTTTGGGTGTTGAGTATTCGCCTATCCCAAAGTATTCTGTGCAATAAAATGTCCAGAAATTATAAATTTTCAGAAATTAGAATTAACCCGAGGAACAAGTGGGTTCTAACTATTGAGATTCCACTGTATATCAATACAAAATTCGTAGAACGAATCTATCCCATTGTCGAAATAACTCCAAGCCTTCTATATTTGTCCCTTTTTCGTATAAAATTCCCCAAATCAAGTAGTCTCTTTGTATATATTTGGATTTGTATATCTGGCCTTGGGGCTGAGCCAGATTATCGTCAGTCGAGTCGAGCTGTTTGCCGAGTAAACAGCCCGGAAAATATTTTTTGGGATAAAAGTGAAAAATTTAATTACGAATAAAAAACCGAATAAAACAAAACGAAAATGTTGAGTTCTCCCGCGTACGAAAATTCCGGTGGAAAAGGAAGAGTTCTCCAAGAGACATTCGCGTACCGCCGGACAAAAAATATTTATAATTTCTTTCAAATTTAATTTTATTTATTTTGTTTTAGTTTAATTGGTTTTTTTTTTGTGATCTCGTCTAAATTATTGAAAATATTTTTTGTTTTTTGGTTAGATTGGTGAAAATTATTGAATAACTTAAAACTTGGATGGACTCCGAACCGGACTTTCAGTAAGCTAAACAAGTGGAATTCCAAATTCGTTGCGTTGCTAATATTAAGAACCATTTAGAATATGTGCATGCAATGGCGGCGTGCTGCAGCCTTAAAGCTGCACTTTACCGGACTTACTTACCTGATTGATCAAATCATAGCTGGCTCAAGCTAAAATTCACGGATATGGAGCTGCTTTATTGCTCCCGAACGACAGTAAGTAAATCAAGTCGACTCTCAAACTTAATCGCTGATATTGAACCTCCTGTACAGCGAGCTCAGGGAAATTCCTCACACGAGGTTCTCTGAGGACTGGCTAATAATAGTAAGTAATGCTCATTCGCAACTCGGTTCTTATGCTGAGATTAATAGAGTTTCCTCAGGAGAGTGGCTAGAATGGATTTGACTGGCCTTTGAATGTATGACTCAACCATTATCCTGTTCGTATCTAAATTAATCAAATTGTATCAAAATTTCGTCGGTGAATTCAACACGGGTGAAGGATGATCTGACAGAGTGAAGAATGTTTGACATCAATGGAAATACTCTAAATTAATCAAGTTCATTTCAATTTCGGAAAGCAAATTGTTTCGCAAAATAAAATTCAAAGTTTGATGATGAAAATCAAATATTGTTTTATTATGGTATTATGGTGATTTTAGGGGTTAAAGAGCTTTTAAAGTAACGGTCAATTTATAGCAGAAAATATGAACCGATGGCCAAGCCAACAATAGGCGGTGCCTTTAAAATATCTGTGGGCGAGAGTTTATTTTACGAAATTTAATTATTCCGCCGATAGTAATTTCTTAGGGCTGCATTTGAAAACTATCGGTTAAGTATCGTATGGTATTGATAATTCAAATTGATGGCTGTGAGACCAGCTTTATGGGAGACCATGCGAGTGAAATATATGCTTTAGCTTATATTTTTAGTCGATATGCTGGCAATACACCATGGGGCATTTAGCTTCAGCCACTAACCATACAGTATATAGATGTGCCAGTTCATACAACGAAAGGGGCGCAGCTGGGCTGCCCAGCACCCAGGTCTTCGGCTAGGGTGCTGGGACCATTCGGCTGTGGTGCTGAGACGTTCGGGTCGTGGGCCTGAGTCGTTGGCATTTTTTCGACATGTTCGATTCATGACGAGATGCGAAAGCAAGCTGAGAATTGCAAATGTATGTGTGTAAACAGACACGACAAAATTTTGTATCAATCTATTTTCCGAAACAGTTTTGAGTTTGTTTTGAGTTTCGTTTCCAGGTTACGTAAATGTGTGTGTGCCATATATCACACATAGGGCGTGTGTGAGCTCTACTGTTGGCCGCTGAATTTGTTTTTCGTTTTGTTTTGAGGGCTGATGTGATGTAGCGACCTATTCAGGGCCGGATCACCCTCACGGGCTGGGCACCATCAATCTGGGGCCCTCCTTTATTTTGTATTTTTTTCAGTGGCTATTATATATTTTATTCATTATTTGGAGTTTTGTTTTTTCAACAAAATTTTTTTGTTATTTCTAGGAGGGCCCTAGGCAACTGCTAATCCGGCCCTGGACCTATTCCCGTCGTAAGACTTCATATTTTCTTGGTGTGTTCTGTCGCTCGACTCGACGCGGGTCGGGTCGGGGCATTGACGAAGCCGAAAGCAGGGCAAAGGCTAGCCTAAAAGAGAATGGAAGAAAATACCCCGCGCGCCCGACACAACAACAGCTTTTCAAAACAAAACGAAAAAATATTTTATGAACGGCTTCGTTAATGCCTCGACCCGACCCGCGTCGAGTCGAGCGACAGAATCGCCAACAAAATAGGAAGTCTGACGACGGGAATAGGTCCAGGGCCGGATTAGCAGTTGCCTAGGGCCCTCCGAGAAATAACAGAAAAATTTTTTTGAAAAAACAAAACTCCAAATAATGAATACAAAATATAATGTCCACTGAGAAAAATACAAAATAAAGGAGGGCCCCAGATTGATGGTTGCCCAGGGCCCGGTTGAGGGTTGATCCGGCCCTGAATAGGTCGCTACATCACATCAGCCCTCAAAACAAAACGAAAAACAAATTCAAGCGGCCAACAATTGTAGAGCTCACACACAAGCACACTATGTGTGAATATATGGCACACACACATTTACGTAACCTGGAAACGAAACTCAAAACAAACTCAAAACTGTTTCGGAAAATAAGAATTGATACAAAATTTTGTCGTGTCTGTTTACACACATACATTTGCAATTCTCAGCTTGCTTTCGCATCTCGTCATGAATCGAACATGTCGAAAAAATGCCGAACGACTCAGGCCCACGACCCGAAGCAGCCGAGAAGTTCAGCTGCGCCCCTTTCGTTGTATGAACTGGCACATCTATATACTGTATGGTTAGTGCTTCAGCCAAGTAAAATATATTAGACCCCTATCGATATATGTTAACAGTAACACTGTGCTGTTAGGCGCTCAACAGTACGCTGTTTTCAGGGTGACCGTTGACGGAATACTTTATATTTGAGATTGACATTGAGCTCAATGTATATATCGGCATACAACTTTATATGTAGCCAAGTATCTCATACATGAAACGCAAAAATGAGTCAGCTGAGCGTAAATATTATATTATTATTTTAATATTAAATCGAATGTCAAGATCGATGAATAATTTTCCTCGGTATATTTAGAAAATGAGAAGGTATATTTCGGTATATTTTTGAGGGTCAGTCGGTATATTTGATGGATTAATCCGCGCTTAACAGTACGCTCTTATGCCCAGCTTAGAGCTGTCAAACGATTGATAGTTGAGCCATCGATAGTTTTTAATGAACCTGTTAAACCTTTTAGGAACTTGACCATTGTAAAATTTAGATGCCACCTGTCAATTTGCTTACAAATGTGTCTTCGTATTTTTTAGCAGCCAACCCAAACATATCAAAAGCGCAACGATTGTAGCTCGATACTATCATGACGGAGGCTGGCAGTAAAATATCGATACTATCGATAGTGCCCAGCTGTCAAATGCAACCCTGACAACACGCCATATTGTGACAGCCGCTGTCGTGCTCTCTTTCTACTTAAAACCGTTCGCCATACAAGATGGTAAATGCAATTTTTATATTTGACCAAAATAAAATCGCCAAAATATTGTGACATCAGTGTACATTTTGATTAAAAAAAACTGTTTTTATTATGTGAACGGGTTGATAAATGGGAATTTGATTGCATATTTTGCACAGCGCCTGCCGAAAGGGCTTTATTCTACAAAAACAACAAATTGGCGATTTTATTTTGACCTAGATCGGTTGACCTACGAATCCAATACTAATAAAGTTTTGCTTTTACAGACGAAGGGTACCTCCAGCTTTGGTAAACGTCATAACAAGACGCACACCTTGTGCCGTCGTTGTGGACGCTCCTCGTACCACATCCAGAAGTCGACTTGCGCCCAGTGCGGCTACCCAGCCGCCAAGTTGCGTTCGTGTAAGTATATCCCATGATTGCCCATTTTTGCGGAAATTGAGTCGATACTAATACCTTTTGTTTCTCTCCATGCAGACAACTGGTCCGTGAAGGCCAAGAGGAGGAAGACCACTGGCACTGGCCGCATGAGCCACCTGAAGGTTGTCCGTCGTCGCTTCCGCAATGGTTTCCGTGAGGGCACCCAGGCTAAGCCCAAGAAGGCTACCCAGTCCGGCAAATAAGCACCAGCGGTTTATTCATCAGCCTTAAGCCGCCTCCATTTTGGCTTCGAGAAGCTTCTTTCCCGTTCCGGGGAAGGGAGGCTTGCTTTCAGCTAATAAATGAAAGTTATTTGGTTAAGTGAATTTTGTGCTTATTTTTTTTCGTTGAATCATGTGAACAATGTGCCCCCAAAGGGAGACGCCGCTCAGTGACCACGAGTTGATGCAGAAATGTGCTTATTTTTTTACCCCACATTTTTTTTTTTACTGTGAAAGCAAACAAAAGATCATTCCGTATACATTACGGTGTTTGCGTCGCCTGTTGCTGTCTGGGCGTCAGTCCCGTCAGCTGCACCACCTACGGGGAGCCCTGCGGCTTGGATCTGCGTTCATATTCATGGGCTTCATTTGTAACATGCGGCACAATATATTGGAGACAAAGGAACGTCACTGACTCGTCATTCGGTGGGAATATTTGGTTTATTGATGTCCAAACTAAAGCAGTAGCACTACCCACATCAGATGATACTGAGCACAAGGCTGCATCTCGAAACATTGTACCGACCTTAGTTGGAGGTTCCGTTTTGTTTTGCTCCAATTGCACAATTGTAACAATTGGAGCGGCCCTTGCGCTGGCGGCTGGGATGTTCTAGCTTGGGCCCCGGCTTAAGTCTGCCCCAAGGCGTTGAGTGTGTCTTGGATTCTCTCCATTCTCCGGGCATTATCCATGTGTACATAGGTGCTGAGTGTGGGATGTGCACTGGCTTAGGCCTTTTAGCGACCTGGCTCTGCACTGGAGCTGTGCTTAGAAGGTGTTTCGGAGAACCTAATGACCTGATTTTCTCTCATTGATGGCTCTTTTCTGCCGGCGTACCAGCTGGTACCACTGATAATAGTATCAGGAGTAACATGACTATATAAGCCCCCTAAGTATATATCCGGTTCCCCGTAATCGTTTGCCGCGCAATCTGTCCATCAGAAGACTGATGGAATGCGGCGTATCAGCTTAGGTATGCCAAATCGCTTGATGTTTAGAATAAAGGTACAGGACAGGCATACATACCTGGGATACGATAGTTTCAACATATTAATACATTTTATTAATTAAATTAGAATAAAAAAAAGCTGACATTCGACCTCGCTTAAGGTAACGTAAGTATATTCTAAGAAACAAGGGTCCGACAGCCGCAGTCTGGAATGGAGCCCGGATCTGTCCAAAGCGATGACTACTGGCGCTGACCCGGTCGGTTTATGCAAGCAAGATAATATCGTACAAAAAGCAGTGATTGATTGGTTTATGACTACGAAACTGTTCTCATTGGTCGCTCGATTTGACTAATAGTAGAATTTACAATGTATAAAGCGTTCCACTATGACTAAGGGCGGGGGGAATCGGTATCGAGTGGGCAGGGAGGGATATGATGGGATGGGCTGGGGCTGGACTGGACGGTATGCGGTTGGTAATGTTAATGCGGAGAGTGGTAGTGGGTTGGGGTGGGGAGGGAGAGGGAGAATATCTAAATATCTATTGCCACTAAATGCTAAGAAGGGACATTTACAATTTACAGCTATGAATGTTTGTTTCCAGACTATTCTGAGTGTGGGTGCGGATGGAGGGCAGTGCTGGGCGGCGTAGCTGTTGTCGTGTTCGCTATCCCTGTCCCTGTCCCTGATTCTGGTGGCACTACTGTTGTGGTTGCGTTTTCTGTTTCTGCCACCACCTCCTTTGCTGGCAGCGCCTTGACTTTGATCGCGGAGCCGGAGGCGGGCCGTTTGATGACCAACTTCTTGAGATTCTGGAAGGGCGCATCGAACAGCACCGTCAGGGCCACAGAGGCCAGGAATATCGATATGAATTCGTTGGTGTCGAGCTGAAAGCAATCAAGGATGGGCGTCAGACCAAGCTTGCCACTGCCCTGCATTAAGGGGGAACCTCTACTCACAATGATCGAAACAAAGTTGTAATAGTGATGAATGTGACGTCTCCGGCCGACGTTGTAGAAGAAGACGGGGAACTGCGTCAGGTAGATGGCATACGACAGCTTTGTGGACACCTGGAATCCGCGCCAGGCAAACAGCTTCGTCAGTTTATCTGCCACAAAAAAATATATTCAGTTGTTCAGTGAGTGCGGTCAGGTCAGCCATGGGAACTTGGCGAGATTGGCTTACTCGTGTAGCCATTGTGCGAGACAAAGACGATCCAGGAGAAGAACAGGCACCAGGCAATCGGGGCGAAGGCCGCATAGATGGCCGCATGCGTCGAGTTGTACACGTAGTTGATGTCGCCCATGGGCGCGGGGCCCAGCACCGAGGCCAGCACACATATCGTGGCCGCAGTCCAGCCAAGACGCAGCTGCAGGCTGCTCAGCTTGGCCGACTGATACTTGCGCAGGACATAGCCCAGCAGGATGCCCATGATGTAAACCGTGGAGCGGTGCGGCGGGAAGGAGTACATGTAGTCGGCGGTGCGGAACAGGCGCTGAATGCTGTTTGTTTCGGATGGAATTAGTATGGAATTATGGACACTTTCGGGGGAGGGGAGGGTAGCCAGGCTGGGTGAGTTCCAACTCACTTGGTGCCAAAGTAGATATAGTTGGACAGCTGGTTCACGATCGTTGTGTAGTAGCGAGCCGCCGTTCCCACCGTACAGAGCAGCAGAAGTGTGAAGAGGCCACGACGTGGCCAGCGCCAGAGGCCCAGGATGAGGATAGGCGCTACGGCAAAGAGCTCGGTATCGATGCCCAGGTGGTGTGTGTGCGTCAGGCACATTTCGCTGAAGCCAAAGTAGTTGTGGATGAAGAGCAGGTTGCGCCACCAGTTCTTCTTGCAGATGTCGGCATGGTGACCCACCACGAGATTCCACTGCGGTCCCGAGCCCCACAGCGGCAGCACGTAGGTGCAGAACAGTATCAGAGCAGCCAGAGGCGGGACAATACTGCAATGGATCATCGACCATTTAGAGATTGGAGATGGTCCGCATATGTTGGCTCACTTACCGCATTAGTCGGCTGATGTACTCGTTCTTCAGCCGGATGGGCTGACGCTTCATGAGCCTGCCGAACAGCGAGTAGGATGTGAGCATGCCGCTGAAGAGCAGGAAGGGGTCCGTGTAGAGGGAGGCGGCGCGTCCGATCACCGTCCACGGCTGGCCGAGACTCTCGGACATGGCCGTGCGGTTGTTGTACGGATTGAAGAACATGGCCATCGACTTGTGCGAAAAGATCAGCATGATGGCATTCAGGAAGCGAATGCCATGGACCGCCTCAATGTCGCCTGGCGCGCTGCTGGTGCTGAACAGCCAGCGGAGATTCTTATCCAGCGAGAAGGCCGTGCACCAGGCATCTGCAATTAATTGTTTAGTTTTATTTCGCTCTTTGATTACCGTGTCCCGGCCTCCTGGCCACTCACTCTGCTTTGGCTGCATTTTGGTGGAGCGATCGTAGATGGTGGCAAGAATTGCCACGGACAGGATGAGGACAAAGAAGCGCACTGCCCATGTGGTGTTGCGGTCCCAAGGCTGTTGATCGCGCACCTGGCACATCTGCGGCTCGACGCGCACATTGAAGCTGATGCCTGTGGCTGCCGTCTGGTTGCTCAGGTACTCGGCCACGGTGTACTCCACATCCCGGGCGGAGCAGCCCGATGGCACGCACAGTCCCCAGTTGATAAGCGAGTAGCGGGGCACACGATGCCCAGGCTGCAACAGAGAACAGGATTAGAGTAGCCGATAAGTGACCCCAGTTTGTTGCCTTTAATTGAACGAAGCAGCAAGTCGAACGCGTCTCAAAGCAATAAATAACATACATACATACTAATACATATATATAATGTATATGTATATGAATTATATTGTAATAAACAAACACTAGTTAATCAGGAATTAAAGTAATTCAATTAGCCGATCCCTGTTGATTGGGGGCAGTCGCAGTCGGCGACTCGACACGACACGGCGTGACATCATTCCAAACGAAAGTCGAGCCCTGGCCAATCCGTGCTGTAGGGTTCAGTGCCCCCGCCGCGTAGAGCATCGGCATCTCGGCTGTGATTTGCATTTTATGGCAATCTATAGCGTTTGATTGCCTTTCGACTCGACACAACTTGACTCGATTCGATTCGTTTCGATTCGTTTTGTTTGCATTTTCGTCGCTCTCCTTCAAGTTCAATGTCGACGGCGATGGCTGCGCGGCTGCGGCTGCGGCCTAGTCCAATATTAGCAGCATAATGTTAATCAAATCCAACTTTCACATATGTATGTATGTACATATGTATGTATGTAGGTAAAATGCGTCGCTGATTCATCCCATTCCCTCATCTCTCCTCCCGCCTACTTACATCGTTGAACTCGCTCTTGAAGGGGCCATGCGACTGGATGAGCTTGAAGAAGGTCTGCAGACGCTTGGATTTGTGCGGCAGCACTGGCTGTGCATAGGCCAGGCAGTATTGTCCCCGCAAGATTGTCTTCTCATCTCTAAGGGGATCCTCGTTGCGCATCCGCTGCTGGATGCCCAGACACTGGTCAAAGTCGCCCGGCTGGTTGATGTTGCCATTCAGTATTCCGGAGTTCAATTTGCCGCTGGAATCGTGCACTGCGTGAAAACGGTTGGGGTGGGCAGTTAGAATATAAAAATTAAAAACAAAACTAACGCAGGTCCCTAAGTGGGCAGTTCTTGTTGGTCCTTGGCATAAGTTGGCAGTTCTTGTACGCATGTACGTAGGTGTCATCCCATCGTGTGTGTAAGTGTGTGTGTGCGTGTGTCAAATGTTTATGCAAGTGTGACCTTGACTGTGATCACAACCCGTTTGCGTCTTGTCTCTTGCGTCGTTCTGGTTCTAAGCGCCGCTGCCAGCAGCCAGCAGCCAGCTGGTTCGGTCAACGTCGCTGCCGCGTTTCTGTCGTCTTTTGTGTCAAGTTCGCATGGAATTGTTGTTGATGCTTGCACTTTTGTTGCAGTTGGCATTGTGGTGGGGCTGCTGCCACATGCATATACATACATACATACATATGTATACTATAATGTATGTACATATGAATGTACAGGCATGCATAGATGTGTGGTGCTGCCCCCCAGCAAATGTGGGTAAAGTTCGTCGATTGGCCTTCACTTTAGCTGAATGCCACATGCACGAGCATGCACTTGCACTTGCAGCTGAGATCTTGCTCGTTTCGTTTCGTTTGTTGCATTGCATTTGACTTTGGAGTCTATCAATTCATGTCGACTCGTCTGGCGATCATGCTGCAGCCGTTGCAGGCTGCTACAGCGACACCGACACCGACGCAGACGCCGACCGCGACTGAGACATCACCTGCAGCCAGTTGGCAATGACTCGAATTCGAGCCGAACGAGCGAACGAATGAACCAAACCCCCCAATTGGCTCCACCACTTGCAGAACTAGAACCTCTCTGTTGTGTGTGTGTGTGTGTGTGTGGTGTTACTCACTCTTCAGGGCCCACAAATCAAAGTTGTCCAAGGCGTCCAGATACTGGCGCATTTGTCGGCGGCACAGGGTCGATGCATCTGGATGTCTGGCCGGGTCAAATGGCTGTGTGATGGCCAGAAAGCGCCTGCCAATGTTGTGCAGATAGGCTGGAAATGATCGAAAGAAATACAAAACTCAATTAGAATCGATAAGAAAGGCAAACATGGAGGGAGGATTCTTTGTTCACTTTTAAGCATTGATGGCGGCGTTCCATTCCACTCGTTCCGGGCACGCTTTGCCGTCAGAATACAAAATTGTACAAGGTCAGGCCCCACTGGGTACGTGGCGGCGGCAGCCAACAGGAAGTCATATTCTGTCAATCAGAGCGCGTGCCCAAGCCATTCTGGGATGGCAGCTGGCATCGATTTTGCTGTGTGATCCGCTCCAGGCCTGGAGCAGATTGCATAGAAACGATTGGCCAATGAGGCGGGACCACAGCAACGGGGGGGCGAATGGCCCTGCATACTGCAGATGCATCTCCAAGAAACGATGGACAGGACGGGACCGACAGATTCAAAGCCAAAACCCACACCCACACCCTTGGTGTGGGCTCTGCTCTTCCCAATCCCAATCCCAATCCATCATCAGCATGCGGGGGCCAGCGTTGGAGCTTTTGTTCTTATTAACATTTTCAATTTTTATGCTGGGCGAATCTTCAAAGTGGCCAGCACTCATTATGAATGCTGAGCGCGTTCTGGGCAACGATCCATCAGTGGATCCGCTCGCTGACTGGATCCGTCTCAGTGATCTCGATGGAGGAGGAGGAGTCGAGAGAGGATGGCCGTCGTCTGGGCAGTCCCCAAAGTGCTTAAATGCGTCAGAGTCGACTCGGACGAGCTCTGACTGCAAAATTTTGTGGCCTGCCTGTCGTCATTTTCTATTGAGATACGAGACGCAATCGATCCCCAGGCGGCTAAATTTGGAAAACAAGCCAGCCCAATAGTAGACAAGGAAGAATTGAATTGAATTCTATGATGGCCACAGCAACAGCTACAGTCACAGTCACAGCTCGCCAATCCAATCCAATCCAATCCAATCAATCTCTGGCACTGGCACTGGCTCAGGGTTCCGGGCTTCATCTGCCTCCAGCATAGCAATGTTGCGACAATGGATGTGATGTGTGCGATGGGAATCAGTTCCAACTCGTTTGTTCCCTTCCCTCATTAGCAAGGCAAATTATGAAGATTTTAGAAATTGATAGACGGGCAAGGCAAAAACCAAAACAAATAAAATCTCTAGAACGGGAGAGCTAAACTTCCCTAAAGCAAAAAACAAAGCTGTGGCTCCCCTGTGGGAGCTATGAGAATGGAATGGAGTTTCATTTAAGGAATGTTTCATTCAGACTCAGACTCTCCCTCTCTCTCTCTCTCCCTCTGCCAGCAAATATATTCAATGCAGAGATCTATGTATGTAAAATACGGAGAATGCCAACCCACAATTATGATGAGTGTGGCCTAAAGATATGTGGCATGCCAAGTGGCTGAAATAGCAGCCGTAGCAGAATGTTATGTAAGCCAAGAATCGCACATTGGACCTGGCCAATATCGTTGGACGCGGCTTAATTAACTGCGTTTGCTGTTTCTCTCTCCCTCTCTCTCCCTCACTCTCCCTCTCACGCTGCTGAGAGCGTGACCCACTTGTGCAAGCTGCAAAATGCTAGCTGCTGTCTGTCGAATGACGACAGTCGCTGGCTGGCAAGCTGGACAGTACAGTGGAGCATTGCACAATCCTTCAGTGCAGTGCAGTGCAGTTCAGTTCAGTGCAGTGCAGTGCGCAATCCTTAGCACGATTGCCCAACACTGTTCTAGTTTGTGGACATGCTCTGGCCAGAGCCACAGCTGGCTGCCCATAATGTAAGTAACGGACAACGGGCAACGGGCAACATGCAACGAGTGATAGCTGTCTCTTGGGGGGCTTTGATTTGGATTTTCTACTATACATATGAGCAAATGTACGCCTTTAAGTTTATAACAACCAATCGAGGGCAAATGTTTTATGCCAGATGTGCCCTCAAATGGAAACACAATCAGGCTGTCTGCAGCAGCTTGGGCTGGGCGCTCTGTGTTTGGTTTGTCCTGCGCATATTTCCAGAACGCTTAACGTTGCCGGTGTCAGATCGGCAGGTAGAGACGGAGAACAAAAGACACCATCCTGTCGAAACAATCGCAAAAAATTGATCAACATTTGTCATTCGCAACATTATTATTAATATTGTTGGTCTTGTTTGTTCCCAGTTTAGCGTAAACATTTAAGCAGCTCGTGAGCGGCTTCTGCTGCTACTGCTGCTGCTACTGCAACCCGATCACGATTGACTTTGGCCCCCGTGCCCCCCCCCCACGACGGATGATCTGTGTTTTGTGTGGAGCATATTTACACAGCCCCTGAGCACGGCTCAGGTCTCATTCGAGCGCAGCTAAATTTCAATATTTGCCAAGCATATTGGCAGCTCAACTGAGTCTCTGTCTGTGTCTCTCTCTCTGTGTCTGTGTCTGTGTCTGTGGGGAGGTGTGTGTGGGAGGGGTTGCAATTTGCCACCGTTTCGTTTTCAGTTGGAAGTTCTTTGGCGATATCTCGATTGGGCTTTTGCCATATCTTAAGCTCCATTTGAAGAGGGTTCTTCGTCACCCTGCATGGGCCATGATCATCGTTGTGGATGTGACGAGTATTGCTCGGCGGATTTCTGATGTCTTTTTTTTTTGGCTAAGTCGAAACAAGTTTCTTATTTTATGGCGGCATTTAACGGTACTTGGGGGTTGGTCAAGCGGCGGATGGATATGATACGTGATACGTAGGCGAGGCAAACACATCAGCGAAGATCAATTACAAACAAGCCAGCCACAAATTGGGCACACAAACCACTCAGGCTTGGGGCTTGGGGCTGGGAATGGGACACGTTAAAACATACGACACTTTTTCACTCACTGTGGGGGGGGGGATGGAGATGGTAATGTTAATGGTAATGGAGATGGGAATGGGACTGGGAATGTGGCTGAGTGTAATGTAATGGGAATATGTCTGCATTAGGCAGGGACCAGACCAGGCATTCCACTTGCCCCCGAAAAGTACTTTTAGTTTATAGTTCGATTCGATTCACTCCGTTATTCAGGACCTATTCCCTGCTGCCCTGCTGCCCTGCTGCCCTGATTGCAGATGCCTTCCTTTGGCATCAATCTACATTTTGGTGATCGATGTGATCCGTCACATGACATCATGGCCCGTGGAAGCTTCGCTTACGTGAGACTTCACACAGCGGTGACACTGGCTCCAAGAATAAAGTCGATTACCGGGCACTTGGCACCGGGTCTGGGGCCTTCCCCCATTTGCTCATCTTCATCCTCATCCTAACACATTCCGCAAATAGTACTCCGTTCGGTGTTTGCACCGGCACACAAAATAATACTACAAAAAAAAAAAAGTGAAACAACAAGGCCAAACCTTTTAACAAGAATAACGAATGCGCAACGACTGGGCAAAAAAATCAAAAAAAACAACATCGATTAGATAAGAGATTATTGCTGGGCTGGTGGGGCGGATGAGTACTCTGGCTTCGACTCCGACTCTGCTGTAGCAGGAAATGGCCCCATGGGGCCGGTGCGTCAAAGTCCAATTGGCACTGGCCCATTGGTCAGTTCTTGGCCGAAAAAAAGGGGCTTGGTCACGTCCATTTTGTCACTTGGATGCGCGTTTCAGTGCCGGAGGTCTTTTGGGCCATTAAAGCAATGGATAGCCCTCGCCTCGCCCTCGCTCTCGCCCTCGCCCTCGCACTTGCCACGGCAAAGACCTGGCCAAAAGTGATTGCGGAGCAATTGATTTCATTTGACGCACGCGCCTCTTATGCAACATTTCGCTTTGGGTCACAGTCAAATATCCAAAATCCAAAAGGGAAGTACTGGTTTTTGGCTGGGCCCAGGGGGATGCATTACAATTAAAGAAATCGGTTAACAAAAGCCATGGCCCCAAGGCCACATTATCTTACCCACCCCCCCACCGTCCGCCCCCTTTTAGAGTGCGTGTGTGGGCGGGCAGGTGGGCAGGTGGGCAGGCATGATAAAGCTGTAATCAATACGCGACATGGCACTCCACTCCACTCGACTTACCACGTTCATCCTCCTCCACCTGATCATCATCATCGCCGTCGCCTTCGCCGTCGCCGTCGTGGTCGTCGTCGTCGTTGGGGCCAGTCGCCGTACCCCGCTCCAGCTGGTGGAGCGTAAAGTTGGTGGGCGCGTCCGAGTGCAGCTCCGTGAGATTGCCCGCCTGGTACTCCAGCACGGCATCGTCGGCGAACAGCTTGAGGCTGTAGTTCACCTTATCCTCGAATATCGATGCGATTTTGCTCTCCAGCTTGTCCGCGGACGCGTCCCCGCCATCCGAGCCGTGGCCGGCGGCTGGCCGCAGGAGATTGTCGCCCAGGTTGCAGTTATCCTTCAGGCTGCAGGTGGGCTGCACAGCGTCGAGGGCCCGGCTGTGGCTTGGCAGGCGCAGGCCCACAGCCAGTAGAAGCAACAGGCACGGCAGGTGCATCCTGTCGAGGATCGCTGATCACTGATCGCTAATCACTGATCGTTTCCTTTGCTGAATCGTTTCGAACTTTCGCCTAGAACTTCTTCTCGGCACTCTGGCACATAATCACAGGCACAGGCACAGCCACAGGAACAGGCACAGCTAACAGCTAACAGATAACAGATAATGCAACACCACAAACAAACAAAAAAATAATACAACGATCCCAGCAAAGAACAGACCGCAGAGAATCTTCAGCAAGTGTCTGGCGTTGGGGGTGGGGTGGTCTGGTGGATTTGCGTGGATTTAGTTTTGGCCAGCGATAAATTAAGCGACCGCCAAGACGAAACATTCAACGTCAACTGATTGTCCAAATGCCGCCAAGCATGCGAAGACCGCTCAGGTTCGTCGGCGGTTCGGGGGTTTAGGCAGCTCCGGCTCGGTCTCAGTCTCAGTCTCTGTCTCAGCCCCCAGTCTCAGTCTCAGCCCCAGCCCCAGCTGACTGAAAGTGTTCATGTGAATGTATCTGTGTGTGTGTGCTTGAGTATCTCTCTCTCCCTCTCTCTCTCTCTCTCTTTCTGTGTGTGTGTGTGTGGGTATCTGTTTTAGCCGCAGACCGAATTTCAAAACCAAATGCAAACCGAATTTCCAGCCAAGTCTGAAATTGAAACTGAAACAGAGGCTGCTCTGCTCTGCACTGCCCTGCCCTGCCCTGCTCTGCATTGCCGAACTGATCCGATCAAGAATTGTGCATCGATTGCATGAGCATTCGGGCCTGGCATGGCCAACAATTAGGCTCGGCTCAGGCACTATGCTGTTCCGCTCGTTCAAAACGCAACGGGCTTCCCCAGAAACATGCACACCCTAGGCTCCTCTTTTTGCGCCTCTTTTTGCGCCTCTTTTTGCCATTATGTGATATATTTTTAGTGCCATGAAAACTCTCCATGGGAATGGGAATGGGCATGGGAATGCATACATATGTAGATGCAATCGTATTAATTTACACCAATTTATAATTTATTCTGTGTGAATATTTCGATTGGCATTCAGGCTGAGAAAATCGCTCCCCAGATGTACAGTATGTACAGTACAGCATGCACACTCCACGCCTTACCAACACTAACACCATGTATGCATGTAAGTGTTCAATAATTTCATCATTTTATGGCCCACAGCTTATAGGCTAAATATTCAAAATAAAATCAAAAAATGAGAGCTCCAGTATTCTTGAATTGCAATTTCTTTTGAACAAAATAAATAATAAATTGCCACAAAATCAAACTTGATTTCAAATTTTGTATTGCCATTTACGGCAATACATTTAGATGTAGAATTTCGCAAATTCGACATGAGACACCAGAAAAAAAAATTAGAATCCCATCCCATCCCGATCTTGGGGTTAATGACATGCCAGATCCCGCATTGAATCTCCCCCTCTATGGCACTGTGTTGGCCCTGAAGAGTTCTGCCTGGGGATGGATGGATGGGTATGGAGATGTACAGGTGTATTAATGGTGTGGGCGGGGAGGGGGGCTTTGTGTCGCAACAATTTCTTGCTGATCAATCGCATTAGAGGCCAGGCACATAAAGGTTTGGAAATATAATTACAGCCAGGTATTTCTGTTTTTCGTGTTGGCCAATAACTCGTTTTGATGACAACATAAACATAAACGGAAAGAGTAGAAAACAAGTTCCATGGATGCGGATGGGATCGGGGGCCCCAAGACGCGTAAAAGAATCATTTGATTGCCACTTCGAGTGGCCAAAAGCAAACCCAATCCACACCCACTCCCACTCCCACTGCCCGTTCGAGCCCATCAAATGTTTTGTTTTAATGGTGGTACTGCCAAAGACAATTCGCAATAGACAAAACTGACGCAAAATGCATCGAAAGTGAGCCCCTGGTTGCCAATATCAAATTACCCAATCCCAACCCCAGTCGCTAGCAATTTGCAGCACGGTTAGCCATAAATCGGATTCATAGACAGAGAGTCAGAGCCAGAGCCAGAGCCAGATCCGAAGCCAGAGCCAGAGGCAGAGCCGAAGCCGAAGCCGGAGCTGGTTCTTGCAACAGGCGCAAATTGCAAGCGGAACCCAGAGCACCAAACACCAAAACAAAAGTGGCCACTAAATATTTTTGGTTGGGTGGGGGGGGTTAACATCGAAAATATCCATAAAAGCGGGGAGGAAGCCTTAAATTGGCTGCGACTACGAACGCTACCTACCCCATGGACAGCACAGATCCAAAGCCAGAGAGAAGCTTATCCAAGCTGCAAGTCCTTTTGTTCTGTCGACAGGTAGATCGAGAAGCAATATTTACACTAAGAATATTTATGATGATAATCGTTTTTCCCTCTCTGATCGTAGCTGAGCCAACTGGCTGAGCCTGAGCTACCCTGCAACAGGCAACTGCAACAGGCAACTTGGCATGTGCCCAAATAACCATTCTCTTTCGTTTGTGGCCAAAAGGAAGAATGTGGCAATTGGCTCTGACTGTGGCTGTGGCGGCTCCAGCCATGTGGGGCAATCTGAACGAGTTTTGGTTCCGCGGAACCAACGTCGCGTCGTCTCATTAACAGCTAGAGCAAGAGCGGCGCAACAAGCTCTGCCAAGTTGCATGCCAATTTTTCAAGAGGCAACAGCCAACGTACAAACGTTGGCAACGAACCGAACTACTTGCAACTACTTGCAACTTGGCTGACTCGCTGACTCGCTGACCATCTGACTCTCTGACTATCTGACTGCCAAGTGTGGCAATTCGTTAAAATATTTCTGACGTTCGCGTTGCCAATTGAAATGCTGTTGGCTTGGCTTTTTGGCATTTCGTGCTAATTCCCCCGTACCTGGGGACACCTTGTGGTCGGGCATGTCTGGGTTTCCGTCGGCTCTTCCTCGGCTCCTCGGCTCGTCGCGAAAGGCCATTAGCGGGGCGCTGTTAGAATTCATTGTTTGCCCATCAGCTGGCTCAAAAAGTGCAATTGGGAAGACCAACTCCAGCCCCAAGCCTAACCACAAAACAGCGAACAGAAAACAGAAAACAGCAAACAGCAAACAGCGAACAGCGAGCAGAGGCTTATCTTTGGCGCGGAGTCTGCAGTTCATGTCTCGAAACACCTTTTGTCATCGGCCGAATGCAAATGCAAATGCATTAAGTGGTGCACACAAACCGGTCCATCGCCCCAAAACAAAGATGTTTTTTTCCGCGCTCTTTCCAAATATTATCCAATCGGACCGCCAACAGCGAGCAGCCACAACGATATTGGGGGGATCGCGGATCAACGATCAGGCCTTTTGATCGGTTTGATTGTTGACTCGCTGCTGTCGGAGAGATGGTGGCAACACTGGCAGCTTACCAGCTGGTAGGAAGGGAAGGCATTGAGCCATGGACGATGACATGGCTGAAGCGTGGAAGCGGGGAATGGAAACATGGAATTGCATGTAAGACATTGAATCGATTAAGACTTGGCTTGTGGACTTACAAAACACTTGCAGGCAGCAAATGGAGAAGAAATCTTGAATTTAATGTACATTTTATTTTAAACACACTCGTGGATTGATAGAATTCAAATCTCATCCATTATTCGAACTGAAATCGAAAACGAAATCAAAATCTTAAATTCCTAATTTCCAGCTGCAGCTTAAGCAGATCAAGCAGCTAACGTAACGTAACGTAACTCTCTCGACTTTCGTTTCTTCGGCGAGAGCTCTCTCTGAGAGGCAGGTAGACGAGCCTCCCTACCGTCAGCATGGCAGAACTCACAGACACAGACACACACACAGTCACGAACATAATCGCAATTGAACGGTGCGTTGTCTGGCTGCCACATATTTCACAATTATCCCCAACTATATCGAACTGGATTCAAATCTGCGCTATCCAAGAAGGTCGTAAAGGTCGTAAAATGCACACATCAAATCAGTGATAGTAACAGTAGAAAAATAACCTCTATGTGGTGGTGGATTGCCATTCGGAATTTCCAATTCAATCAAAGCCCACTTGTGCCGTGTGGCCCAGCAGCTGTGGGAAGCCGAACTATTGCACCGTCTGCGTGTCAATGGGTTAATCGTGACCTGCCCCCACTCCCTTCAACACAATGCACTCATCCCCATGCACTTTGAAGACGCTGCGCCAATGCTCATAATGACGTTGTTAATGATTATGCTGCTGAATTAAGTTTTCGTATCGCCCAAGTCTTTTGTTGTTAGGAGTAGGGGAGGGTTAATCAGCTGACGCTCGTCGTTCCTCTCTTGCTTATGATTTAATTTCAAGTGGAATTTCGGAGAGTGAGCGAGCGAGAGCGAGTCCCGTTTATATTTATGTATTTCATATGCATTGACGCCTCTGCTTCTGCCTCTTGGACCCATCAACGACCTTCGATGTTGTAACCCATTTGTATGCCCTTTCAGAAGGTATTATGCTTCTGAGGGAACGAAGTACAGCCACATCGAATAATTACTTCCGAAGTTTACATGCTCGCAGGTAGCGTAGGCGAGACTCTCAGTGCAGCGAAGAGAGTCAAACAGGCGGTCGCCCAGAGAGCGTTCAGCTAGAGATGGCACTATTGGTACGTGCCTGCCTACAAAACTCCTTCGATTGATTCACTTTCACTGGTCCGTCGCACTGCAAGGGTATGCGACGCGTCGGTGCAACGAGTTTCAGCTTTCATGCATTTTCGTTTTAAATTTCGATTTCAATTCGAATTTAATTTACAGTGGTGCTGGGGACTGGGGCTGGGACTGGCTGCCGCTGCAACGTTTCGTATGTGGAATTTTAAACAGTTTCTTGTTGTTTCTGGAAGTGGGTCGGTCTCTTTCTTGGCCACCTCCATGGAAGCCTCACCTCGCCTCTGCCTCTGCCTCTGCCACGATATGCATATGATGATGGCCAGTCCAAGTGTCTTGTTGTGGGTTTTAGTTGTTGTATTGTTTTGCCTGCAATTTGAAGGGCGATGAAGCTTGGCTAATGCATATAGAGCCCAGTCCCAGTCCCAGTCCCAGACCGATAGACAAGACCGATCGCAATCCATGGCAATCCATCCATCCACATTGTGTTTGCTTAATTTCTGTTTCTGTTTTTGCGTTTTGTTTTTGTTTTTTCATTGTTTTTAGCCAGATATGTTGCTGCTTAATGGCTCATTGTCCCATTAACG